TCAGGGAGCCCAGCGTAAACTACCAGCCAAGTTTAATACTTGCGCTATTTCTAGTCTATATTAGTCACTATTCTGAAGCAATGTTTATAAAAAAAATTCAAATTATGCTAAGTTACTATTTCTCTGTGCACTTAGGAACTCAACCTGCAAAATGGGCTTTCAAAGGTGAAAGTCAATGTTGATCTGTGTATATGTTCATTATAAAGGAAATTTATTACAATGTCTTTGTTTTGGATAAAACTATCATTTGATTCACAAATCATTTCCAGTATTTTTCTGATATAGATAACAGAGTGAGCTGAGCAATATTTCAATATTCTTTAGTTCCCTGATTTTTTCTAATGTTTCTGCTCAAATTATTTTTATATCTTAATTTGAAATAATTATAGAATGACAGGATGTCACAAAAATATTTCACCCAGTCCTGTGAACTCCATACCAAGGTTTCCCAATTTATACTACAACTAAAGTAGTGGTAGAAAAACATATCCAAACTAGGAAATCATTGTTAGTATGATACTATTAGCTTCAGATTCTACTCATTTTTCACCAGTTTTTACATGCATTAATTTATGAATAGATAGTATCACTTTATGCTGACTGATGTCATGTATACATTCATGCAACCACCATCACACAAGTGACACTTCTAGCGCTATTTCCTACCAAGCATTAATCTATTCTCTTTCTAGCTTTATTTTGAGAATGGCATATACTGGTAACTGTAATCAATATAGCATAAGTAACTGTTTTTCCCCCAGTACTGGGGATTGAATGCAAGGCCTCCACACTAAAATATAGGTCCAGTCCTTTTTAAAATTTTTTATTTTGAGACAGGGTCTTGCTAAGTCACTAAGTTGCTCAGGCAAGGCTTGAATTTGTGATCTGGGATTATAGGCATGTGCCATCATGTCCAGCTAGTATAGGTAACCTTAATGCCCTTGAGGTCCATCTAAGTCATTGCAACTATTAAAAATACATTCCTTTTTATGACAAGTAGTATTCCATTGCACAGATGCACCAGAATTTGTTTAATCATTGTCCTAGTTACTTTTCTTAGTGCTGAAACAAAATACCTGAAACCCACACATTAAAGGAGGAAAGGTTTATTTCAGCTCACAGTGTATGGAGGTTTCAGTCCATAATCAGCTGGCTCTAGGGCCAGGTGGCATGGCAGAGGGGCATCACAGAGGAGAAACAGTCCATGACAAGGCAGACAGAAGGTAGCAGCAGCTGTCGCAGCCACCAACACCTGTTCCTTCTGTCCCTTTTATTACATCCTCGAGCTACAAGCCTATGAGCTGGTACCGCCCACATCCAGGGTGCAGCTTCCCTTTTCCATAAGTGGATTCATCTACACCCAGAACTATGCTAATTCCAATGAGTGGGCTAATTAAGTGTCACACTCGCTTAATCCCAGTATCATACACCCTAGATCCAGCCAGCCCAGCAAAGCCCCACCTATGAGCAGATCAGGCTTTGGAGGGACGTCTAGACACAGCCATAACCATCAGTTATTCACTGAGGACATTTAGGTTGGTTCTTGTTCGAAAATTACTAAGAATAAATTTGGTATGACTATTCCTTTGCAGATTTTTGTGTGAATAAGTTTTCATTTCTCTGGGATAAATGTCCAAGAGTACAATTACAGAGTCTTATGGTAATTTCATATTTAATTTTGCCAGAAATTGCCAAACTATTTTCTAGAATGCCTGTACTATTTTATGTCCCTACCAGCAAAGTATTAGTGTGTAGGCATTGAATCAAATAACAGGAGCATCTTATGTTCATCATATGTACCAGGCAAATAACAAACTTGTTCTCTGTAATTGTATTATATATACTTCAAACCATTTAATGTAAATTTTGTGCATGTTTATATTATCTTTTAGAGGCATTTAACTTCAGATTACAAGACAGTTTAGATAAATACTTTAAATAATACTTTGGTGAAACACCAAAAAGTCCTGCTTCTGGCTCTCTTCTTTCCGCATGTGACTGATATGGTTATCCTGAGAGAACCTCAATTTGTAACACAGCAGCCCCTGCTCCTGTTTAAGACAGGACAGCAGAGGGGCCACACAGACCCAGTGCACGAAGGGAGTGACGATGGCCAGCTCTGTCCCAGGTTGTAGGATAAAAGATGACATCTGCTCCCTCTTTCCACTCAGAAGGTAAAGATGCATGAGATCAGAATACAGGGTGACCCTGGACATGAGAAAAGGAATCCTTTAACAGTATTCTAGTTTATCTCACAGGGTAGGAAACCACACAGGTACCTGACAGGGAACAGTAATAGGGTACGTAATTGGCCGGATGTTCCCATTCTAGCAGGAGGCTCTCAGTTGAATATTTGAGAACAAGGCCAAGACTCTCTGTCAGGAGACATGATTAATATTAACTCAAGTCCTTCATTCCTTATTTTATATACAATTCATCCTGTATAGAAACATTTGATCACAATGATCGCATGAGAATTTTCATGACATGTCCTGAGCTCAAAGATGAAAATAAGTATCTGGAATTCAACTTAGTAAGTACATTTTTCACATAGATGTGGTCACAGCAGTACTGAAACTGATATTCATACATTGCAAAACTGAAAAAATTAGCAAATTCAATGACAATGTTGGGAGCTATGATTTTTTTCTATTGGAAAAGGCAGACAGAGATACTGAATTTGGGAAAAGTAGGATAATCTTGTGAGGTTGAAATGGAATTAGAAGTATCAGTATAAACTAATGATTTTCAGTGCATGTAGATAACGGCCATAGACACACCAGTGGGTACTGCGTGTGTGGCTGTGTCTGACTGTGTATACAATTATATGTGTACACATCTATTTCCTCGGTCTCTATACACATACACAACTCTGCTGAGATGACACTGTAAAACAAAACGTGCAGCATTTAGAAACTGCTTTCATTTCTTTTTTTAGTACATGTGCTGCCGAAGCAAGCACTTCTTTTCATTTCTCGATAAGTATCAACTGGAACAAAAGCCCATTTTTATTCCATTTTATTCTGCTGGTGTTGGGATCGAATGCAAGGCTTTGCCCATCCTAAGCTCGTGCTGTACCATTGAATTGTATTCCCCAACCTGAAATGTGATAGTTTTTAATTTAATAAACTAAAACTTCAACCTTTTCAGAATCTAACTTATAAGGAACCAGTAAAAAAAATCCATTTGCAAGTACCATAAAAATAAATACTTAAGGGCCGGGGATTTAGGTCAGTAGTTCCAGCACCTGCCTCACAAGCACAATCCCCGGTACCAAAAAAACAAAAAAAACCCCAAATACTTAAAATTTTCAAAATGTCAGAAAATATTTAAAATTTAAAAACTAATGAATTCACCAGAGACTCTTTTTACGTACAATTGTCAAGAGACTAAAAAAAAACAAAAAAAACCTTAATTTTTTTCCTCACAAAACATTTTGTAAAAATGCACCAAAATAAATTTTTTTTTTGCAGTGCTGGTGATCAAGCCCAGGTCCTCATTAAGCAGACACTATCACCGAGCTACACAATCACCCCCTAAATTATTTCTTTAACAAAACAGAACTGATTCATGAGACACAGATAACATTAAGCAGCGTCACAGAACAGAAGAATGTAAAAAGGGAGGCAGAATATTTCAAAAAGCTTTGAAAATCAAGTCATATGTAGCTAAATATAAAAGTAAAAAGCAGCGAATGATTGAAGGGATATTTGAGCTATTCTAAAAAAATTTCCATCTAAAAAGCACATTAAATGATATTTCAAACACATTAAGTGTTCTTTAGATATTTAATTGGGTTTCTGAGAATAATGAAAATCCACATGGAGTGGTACGAGGGATTGAACCCAGAACCTTACACATGCGAGGTGAGCACTCTACCACGGGGCCACATCTCCAGTGTCACTGGGTCTTAAAACAGGGTAAAGGGTTAAAAACTGGGAGAGGAGTTCAAAATAGATGTAATAATCCTGAACTGATATCAAACTGCCCTGAGGAGATTTGCTAATGATTAAGGACCTAGACTAACAACAAGACAAGGAAGTCAGGCTAGATCTGGAGGCTAACCATGCAGAGAGAGTCAGGGTGAACACTACCATGTAAAAGTAAAAGACTCAGAAAATGATATTCCCTCTGAGAAAACTCAGAAAAAGTGCTATCCAACAGGAAAGGAAGATGATAAAAAATAATTTATCTATTTAAAATCTCAGATCCACATAGAAAGGTTCAACAGATTTGAAGCTGAAAAACCACTGCAAAATGGTCTTAAGTTCTAACACTTTGAAAGCCTGCCATAAGCATATATAAACACTTGCTGTGCAGATTTAGGCCCACCCCAAACCTCACAAGTTTCCACGCAAATTGAGGTAACCCAAAACTGAACTCACAGTCTAAAATTACAAAATTCACATGGAAATAAGAAGCCAGAAGTAAAGTCAACCGAATAAACAAAAAGCAGAATTAGACATCTATGAACATTAATTATGATCAGTAATAAACAGACTATAAAACTCACAGAAAACAGGAAACCAAAACATGAGCAAAGGTTCTCAAAAACTAAAAAGAATTTCTAGTAATAAAAATATAATTATTTAATTAAATGCCCAACAATAGAAAGATATTTTTTAAACAATATTTTAACAGTTAGGGAAAATGGATTATGGACTATTAGATGACCACAAATGTTTTGTTAATTTTTATTAGGTGTGATAACGGCATCGTTATTGCTTAAGATATAATTTTCTTTTAACTGTGTGTGCTAAAATATGACATATTACTTGGGATTTGTTTTAAAATATGTCAGAAAATAAAAAAGAATAGATGAAGTGAATGTAGGAAGATGTGGAAAATATTAAATTTAAGAGATGTATATATATGAAAATTTTGTAATAAATATGAAAACTCAATGGTTACTTCATTAGAATATCAGACACAGTCAAAGAAAGAATTAAATAATTGGAAGATGGATCTGATTTTAAGTAAAACTTAAAAGAAAAACACACCTTCCTTCGGGCTCACTGCAGCAGGAAGACCATTCCAGTCAAGGGTCCACGTAGGGCAGGGGTGGGGAGAAAACATCACTTCAATGCCTTTTTCCTAGAAAAGAAAATAGGCTCTTTCCAAATTAATGAATTAATAAAAATCATGATTTGTTTAGAAGGCCAAATTTCTATCTCCTATCTTATTAAGAAGGGGCATTAATAGTAAAAAATCATCAATTATTGCCCCAAATATTTAATTACATGAGAAAAGGCAATATGTTGGGGGTTTTGATATCATACTTTTTTATACTGAGATAGTAGAAAGTAAAGCTGTCTTAAAATGTATTCCCTGAAAACATATAGAAGTAATGAGGCATCATCTAGAAATACACTGGTATCAAAAAGTCACCTGAGGATAAAACTTCATAAAACATAATCCACACAAAGATTATAAAAAGTGGACTCTGCGTGTCCATCAAGGTCCACGTATACATAACTGAAAACTGCCACAGCCTATATGGTGTATTTGCTGAACCGAAACCCTCACACTTCAACACACACCCCAACACACTGCCCCATCAGCGGGCTATCAGTGACACTAATGTCACTAGGAAAAATTCCTCTGATTTAACAAATGGATTCCAACATTTGTAAGGAGGAGCACTTTTCAATGCACTAAAAAGTTTAAGGCTCTTTTCCTATGTTAGAAGCCCTGCATTTATTTATTTGATCTACACATAGTGAGATGACAAACACATGGATTCGCAGACCTCTCCCATTACATTCTCTGTCTGTGCCCCACTGGACAGATAACCATGTTCTGGTATTTTTATGTGTAGGAATAACCTACTCAAGAGATTCACCCAGGTATAGTCCCAGCACAGAGAAGGCTGAAGCAGGAGGACTGGTTGAATGTATGAGATTGAGGCCAGCCTGGACAACAAAGAGAGATCCCTATCTCAAAATGAAACAAACATAAAGAAAGGAAAAGGAAGAAAAAATTGTTGAGAATTCAGGACTAATCCCTCAGCAAAGTCAGTGAGATTACTTTTCTTTGTGAAACTTGTTGAGTTTAGGTCCCAAAGGCACTGGTAGGTAGGTCCCTTTGTTAGGGCCAGGCACAGCCATATATCTACAAGTCCGGAGCACGCATTTGCCTCTGGAAAGATAAACATCTCTCTGACACCATCTGCCCTCTTCCATCTCCTTTACCCTACTTTAGCTACGCTGGCCTTCCTGTTCCTCACGTCTAGGTAGGGTCTTTGATGAAATACAACTATACTGAGATACCACTTATATATCTCAAAGTTTACTCTTTTAAAGCATGGAATTCAGCAGTTTTTATAATATTCACAGTTATGAAACCACCCCCTCTATGTGATTCAGAACACTGCGTCATCCTCCAGAGAAGCCTTGTATCCTCTCAGGAGGGAAATCAAAGTCCCCCATCAGAGCTTCCACCTGACCCAGACACACCAACATCTAGACACACCTTAGTAACTGCTGAAACCAACCTTATATCCACATGCCACTGCTTAAGGGCTCAGCTAAAGCCACATGGAGTTGGTGTCCCTACTAAAGTGTTCTAGTACATTTCTAAACCAGTAAACTTTCTGTCACTACAGAACTCAAATACTTCCTAGCCCAAAGAGGAAAATAATAAATATTTTTCCTGAGCAATTCAGATGAATACTCAATCATTTTGTGAATTCTCCTTTATTTAAATAATCTGCAAATAATCTAATAAAAGCAAAACATTTTTGTAGATTGTTTCAAATTATAGAGAAAAGAAAGCCTATTGGTAGAATTTTAGTATTATAAGAAACAAATTATTGTTTCATTGTTCTTTTTTTTTTTTTTGGTATTGGGGATCAAACTCGGGACCTTGTGCTTGCGAGGCAGGTGGCGGAACCACTGAGCTAAATCCCTCGCCCATCATTGTTCTTATTAATAGCAAGTATATTAAATTCATAAAGAAAAATAAAATTCAAAGAATTTCAAAATCATTCATTTGGATAAAACATTGGAAATAAACTGAGATAGTCATCTTTTTTTTTGGTACTGGGGATCAAACTCGGGTCCTTGCAGTTGCGAGGCAGGCGGCGGAACCACGGAGCTAAATCCCTGGCCCTAGATAGTCATCTTTATATTTCTTTAACTTCAAATCATCATCTCAAGCTTAAAAAGACTGAGATCAAAACCTTGGCACAGAAAAACATCAGAATGAAACACTACATTTGGCCAGGTATATTACATTGGTCCATGTCCTAAATTTAAAAATATTTTAAGAAAAATACTTTTTAAAAGCATGTATCATGATTTACTTGGCTCCAAAGGCACATAGTATAAAAACTCTTCAATTTACTATATTGTACTTAAATACAAAAGACTATCAGGAATACTAATTAGTAAAAGCAATGCAAGACAGCTATGAATGAAATTTATAACAAAAATTGTGTCAAGAAATGATTGCTCATTGGGGTAGGATGCTCAGACACATTATCATGTGGAAGTTTTCAAATAAGATTTTAATAAAGCAAATTTAAGTACCATTAACTTGGTCATCGTTGGTCTTGGTCCTCCCGTAAATAAAGGATCATTCTGCTCCTCTCCACCCGGGGCTTCAATTAGGTGCGGACAATGTTCATTCGGAGAGGATGACAGCTCTGGTAACTGGACAAAGTGGATCCCACACTTGGAAGCTGCTGTTTTCACTCTTGGCACTTCCTGAATTCTCTGGTACCAAGAGGCTAACAATGGAAATTCTGTCAACTTCTCAGAAAATTTCTTGCAGATAATGACCTGGATAGGAAAAGGAATAAAACACATTATTACATAGTTTTGTTTGTTGAAAACAGCTGTATTGCAGTAGCTACATGGTATAAAATAGATACAATTTAAGGGTAGTTAGTGAAATAACACAATTGTACAACTACTACCACAATGCACTTCCAGGTCATGAGGTCACCCCAAAAGTCCCTTTGTGGTCATTCGCAGTCAATCTCTGTTTGCATGGTCTGTTGCAGGCAACCAGTAATCTGTTTTCCATATTTAAAATTTTATCTTCTGTATAACTTTTATAAATGGGATGATAAAATGAATGTATCCATCTTGCTTAGCACTGCATTGAGATTCATCCATGAAGTTGTATTTATCAGTAGTTCTTTTATTACATGTGAAAGTTACTGTGTAGATATAGTGTATTTTGCTTATACATTTATGAGTTGATGGACACTTCATATTTCTAGTTTTTGACTATAGTGAATAATGTTACCACACATAATTATATACCTGTGTTTATGCATAAGTGTTTCTCATTTTCAGGAGTACATATTTCAGATTCAAGTTGCTAGGTTGTATGGAAAGTATATATTTAACTTCCAAAGAAACCACCCAATGTGGCCATACCATGTTATATTCTCAAAGGCAATGGACACAGACTCCAATTGCTCTGTATCTTGTCAACACCTGTTGTTGTCATCTTTATTTTAGCCACTTACATGGGTATGTAGTAGTAACTCATTGTGATTTTCATTTGCATTTCCCTATGATTCATGATGCTGAACATTTTTTGATGTGTTTATTTGCCAGGTGTATATCTTCTGTGGTGACACATTTATCATTCGCTTCATAATATAAAAATTGGGTCAACCCAATAACAAGGAAAGAAGTAACTCAATTAACAAGTAGACAAAAGATCTGAATAAACACTCAGAAAGACATGCAGGTAGCAGCACAACATATGAAAAAATGCTAATCATCAAATATAGAGGATTACAACAAGGAGATACCACTACACGTTGCTTAGAAAAATGAAAATCCAAAACACTAACAATGCCAAATAATAGCGAGGACATGGAACAGAAATTCTTCTATGCTGGTAGAAATGCAACCCAGTACAGCCATTGTGGAAGACAGTTTGGCAGTTTCTTGCAAAACTCCACATACAGCTTACCATGAAATCCAATATTCATGCTGCAGAGAGCTGAAAACTTACATCCACAGTTTATAACAACTTTAATCATAATTGCCCAAACTGGGAAGGAACGAAGATGATATTCGGCAGGTGAACTGGGGTGCATCTCCACAATGGTAAAAACCAACATTCAATAGGGAAAGGAGAAAGACTGTAACAGATAATTCCAAGGGGAATCATATAAATAAAAACATTTGTGAATGTCTATATTAAGGGCTACAACTGGAAAGCATTTTGGAAAACTGTACGTCTTGCATCCATTTGTTGATCTTCTTTCACTTGGTGGACATTTTTTTTTCTTTTGAGACAGGGTCTCACAAAGCCAGCAAGTTTCTTGGGCTGTCCTCAAACTTGCAATCCTTCTTCTTCAGCCTCCCAAGGTACTGTGCCACCACAGGCCTGCATTGCCACACCCAGCTTGGTGGATGATTCTCAATTGTCTTCAAGAATTACTTTTCAATCGACTTTCTTCAAATCTGTAATTCATGACCAAGAACACATTCTGCTGTCCCTGGCCCCATTATATTTGATAGGTTCTCTATATACAGAATATAAAGACCTAAACAGCCCAGAACCCAGAAGGAAGCTCCCCCACCGCCATCTCAAGCTCCTAGGGCAGAGAAGGTGAGCTGCGTGTGAGCCAGAAGCACAAGCGCCCCCCCCCCCCGCGTGGAAATGAGAAGACATGTAAACAAGCCTCAAAAACAGACTTCCGGATCACCTACAGCAACCCCAAAGGGAAACATGATGGAACAATCTGATACTCAACCACCTGGACTCTCTGAACTGGCAACAAAAGAGGACGTGGGAAAAATGAAATCAGAAATAATTACTCAGATAACAGCAAAGATTTTGCTCATGGTGCAAGACATGATTAATAAATCTAGAGAG